AAAATGTGTTCTGCTTTATCTTTAAAATATTGATTTCTTAATTTTGGGTTGGGAAAGTGGGCGTCTTATACATGGGGGTGTCTTATTCATGGAAAAATACGGTACATATCAAGCCACCCCTCTTTTCAGTGCCTTACCATATGGCACACTTTGTGCTTGTTTCCTGGCTTATCTGACAGTATAACCAAGTTTCAGATATTTAATGGCATTTGCCAAGATTCTTTTCCAATTCCCATGTTTTTTCTTTCTTCTATTGTTCAGTTGCTTTCCCAATATCTGTTCTAAACTACAAGTACCAGGAGTAATAGTCCTTCCGTTTTACCCATATAATTTTGTTAGATTCCTTGCATATAGGTGGCATAAACAGTTTAAATAAATGTACCAAAAATACATAGCATTATAAGAGAAATATAATATGATGGTTCACTATATGCCTTCTAAAGTTCAGTCATCCTGGTTAAGAGAATCTTGTACCTCAAACTGTAAAGCAGTGATAAGTAATGACTTAATGAAGTCCCTCAAAGTGGGCAAAATTGTTTATAGACAATGCATTCCTGTTGCCATGAGCTTATGGACATTAGAATTTCATAAGGTTCTCTGTCAAGAACTCTAGTTAGAAAATACTGGTAATAGTTATCCACTTTACCTCTTTTGGTTGAACAGACTATATATAATAATGTGATGTGAGCAATTTAATTTATTTATTTATTTATTTATTTTCAAATTTGTATGCCGCCCATCTCCCCCAATGGGTGACTCTGGACGGCTCACAATAATAAAAAAGAAAAAACACAGGACTCTCCAGACATGGACATAATCTATAGTTAAAAAACATATATAAAAATGGCCTAAAAACCTCCTATAATTTGGCCCTAAAAAACCTGTAAGATGCTGGGGGGGGGGGACAACCCCTCACCCCACCAGCCATCTCCACAGGTGCGGGCCCCCCTCTGGCCCCCAGGCTTTCTGGCAGAATATAAGAATATAAGGGGACCTTAAATCACAAGGTAAAAAGAAACAAGTGTTTGCAAATTTGATCACATGTGACAGTCACCACCTAGTGAGTATTGTGCTTAGCCTGGAAATAGTGAATTCCAGCAAATAACAAAGTAATTGTCTTAACAATTTTGTTAAATATTATTGTAAATAACCAAGTAATAATTTTGGAATGTGGCCTCAGGATTTTAAATGCTTGGAAAAGTTTGGGTGTTTCTTCTGGTCTTTTTAGTCATTTTTTACTAAAAATTTAGTAATTTTTTAGTCTGATTCATTAACACAAATCGTGCAAAAGCTTGTTAGATTTTTCAACCAGCTAATCTTCAGTCTCTTTGTAGAAAGTGTATTGGATCCTTTTCAATTTTATAATTTTTAATGTATGTTTTGCAGATAAGCTCAGAGAGACCTTTTTTTCCCACAACAGCAGCTAATGTGTTTGGAGACTGATTTTGTAAGATTGAGCTATTCTATAAGATTGAGCCGTTATGCTTGTTTGATAAGTTACGGTAACTACTCGACTGACTTTTAGATGCATAAATAATAGAGAAAAATCCCATTTGAAGTCATTATTGAGCAACGTTGGAAAAATGGGGTCAAATATGCTGAAAGATATCCAATTTCTATCATTTTCTAATGATACAGAAATAATAATAGAATAATGTGTACGTGTCAAAGAACAAATGAACTCATTGCCATGAAAATAAGAAAATCCCCAAGATGCAGGGAAATCACAGATTTTCCTAAAGCGATTCCAATAATGGTCAATTAATACATCATAACTTTCATTCTTTTGTTATTGCAGTAAATCCATATCCTTTAAAACTTGTGTGTCTTTTTTTAAGGAATTCAAAATGTGCTGAATCTATTCTGTGCAGTCCTTACAGAAAACAAAGTCCTCTTTCATTCTGCTAGTTTCCAAAGACTGAGTGATGCCTGCAGAGCATTAGAATCCTTAATGTTTCCTCTCAAATATAGGTAAGGTTTTTATAATAACTGTACCAAATCCTTACCAGTGTGGACTGTCTTATTTTTATATGCCACTGACTATCTTATTTTTATTTGCCATTCCTTTTCAGTTAGGACACTCAAGAATCTGGGACTTTTAGAGACATGTTGCAAGATAGCATATCTCACACACACACACACACACACACACACACACCATGTTTCATCATCTGACTTGTTTTAATTATTTCAAACACAGGTCAAAGGGTAATCACAGACATGTTAAGTTTCAGCATCACAGCTGCAATGTCTTTTCAAATACATTGTAGTTTTTAAGATGTCCTCAACCAGACTTTTAGTGTATAAGCATAACACTGTTATCCACATTATAGAGGTTATCAAAACATTCTGGTATAGTTATTTGGTTCTTGAAACTGTTGAAGTTTCTGCACAGTCAAGCTGTGATGTGCCAGGTAGTCTGGCTGCTTCTCTCTCCAGTCTTAAGTCTTTAATCAAGGTCATTGATTTTGTGAGGCATAAGGAGCTGCTAAAGGATTCATGTGCAAAATGAGATTGAAGACCCAGTTACAACAGCGTAATGTTCAACTCCTCTGCCAGTATCCAAGCCATCTGTCCCATTGTAAAGAAAAAAACAAGCTCATAGATATGTTCTGCCCTATTTGTTGATCTAGTGACAAGTTCAAACATTTCCATGATTATCATGAAAACCATGAAATGCACAAGCTCAGCATGAGTATTCAATCACAGCCTTGGAGCTTTCAGCTCAGAGACAAGTGAAACTACCCCTATGTATGTAATAATTTTCCCATTATTTCACAATAAAGTATTTTGACAAGCTGATGGAAGTCATATCCTTGGTATAATCCCAAATATGGTATTCAAATGTTATATGAAAAGTCCCATATAAGAGGGAGGGAGGGAGGGAGAAAGAGAGAGATGTGCCAACCGAATACAACTTTGGAATTCATCCTACCTGGATAAGCATAAATTAATCATTTTGTTTAATATAATAGGTTTTATGCTATTGAAATAATTTCTGAATATAGATCTATTTCACATACACTGTATTGTTGCCAGCAAAATATGGATTCAGCTGATAAAAACAGCTTTATTTCAGCTATTTTAAGTAATTATTCTTGTTTAAATTTAGATTACAATTCTTGCTTATCTGTAACATTTTTAGATAAATAATGTTTGGCTTGGAAAAATATAATTTTAAGTACATTACTTCAATCAATAGTTGTCTGCATATTTTTGTATCCAGCCTTCTTCATTAATTTTAAAGATTATATTTCAGTCATACTATTGAGGAAACTATAAATAGAAAACACAGTGAAATGTATTATGTGGTATTTTATTAACTAGAAACTAAAATATTAAGTTATTTTTGTAAAAACTATATTTATTAGGCAAGAAAATAGTTTTAAAAAAGGTAAATAGAAAGCCCGGTCAATTATTTTTGCTGATATAATGGAAATAATAGAAATGCATGTAAGCCTTGGTGTCTAACAATATAAAGTGGCTGCATTATTTGTCCTTCCCTTTCTTCCCAGTTACCCGTACATTCCAATTTTACCTGCACAACTCCTGGAAGTTCTAAGTTCACCAACACCTTTTATTATTGGTGTGCATTCTATCTTCCGTAATGATATTCATGAACTTGTGAGTATACTAAGCTGGGTTTTATGTTTGATTAAAAGACTGCATCTAAAATTAAATAAACAATTCTACTCAAACAACAGGATATTTTCTTGCATTCCTTTCCTGCATACTGTGCATCCTAAAATCTTCTGAATGCCCACTCTTCCCCAAACCATAGGTGGTTGGGGTCTAACGGGAGGGAAAGTCCTACTAGGAATGCTATATTAGCAATGGATAGTCACAGCTTTAATGAATGCAGACAGATTATGCAGTGTAAAATATTAGTATATGGCAGTCTTAATTATAAGAATTACAAAGTGATAAAAGCATATTAATAGCATAACAGTATAAGGAAATTGTTACACATCTCATAAATATGAAAAGAAATACAATGGAGAAAACGTGGAATCTTTGGTGGGGGGAAAAAACACATTTGGAAATAATAGCAATAATGTGATTTACCAAAACCAGTACCATAGTCTTTTAATTTTGAATGATTTAACTTTTGTTATTTTTTAAAGAGCAGCTTAAGAGTAATACTGAGTAGTAATGTGTATTAGAAATAATAGGCACAGTTTGGTAGAGGTTATTTTAATGGAACCCCTACTGAAAGGAACAGATGGACCAGTGGCATTTGATGATAACTGAAAATCTAATTTAAAAAATTATCACTTTATATGTTGAGTTGGATCCAGAATTATCTATAAATGCATTTTACTAGCAGGACTTTTACATCTCAGTTTGTGTCGGTCTTCATGCAGACTCCAAAATCTCCTTGAGAATAATGTGGGAAATGACTCTGGTGAGCCAAAAGATAATTGGAGAAAAACTTGGATTGATCTTGCTCTCTCCTCTGAATGGAAGGAGTTCTTTCATTCACAAAAGGCTATCTAGAGTCCACCACAGTATTGATATGCTATACAAAAAGATTATACCTATAGTTTGATTAATTAAAACATCAGTCAGAATATTTTAATTATTCCAACCAAGTAGTTGTCTGGATTTTTAAATTTGATTTAAAATCAGGACTTTATATTTCCATCAGTTCAGCCCCTCCCTATTTTTCAATGGATTCTCCATGCCATTTGATTTATTGCTGTTTCAGTATTCTAACTATGTCTGATGGTATTAAATATCATACAGAGTGTTTATTTTTATCTCTGTGTCTTCTAGTTAGATGTAATCATAGCAGACCTAGATGGTGGTACAATTAAAATTCCTGAGTGTATTCACCTCTCCCAGCTCCCAGAACCACTGCTCCAGCAGACTCAGACTTCTCTATCTCTAGTAAGTATAATTCCATGATATAGACATTCACCCACATGTAAACAAGTCACGTAGACTGTGGAGAGCTGACTGGCAGCCTTGTTTAGGGTGACCAGAACCCTTTTGGGTAGAGGGGACTCTGAGGTGCGCCTACAGGGCCATGCAGAGATATTGCAGAGCATCTGTCAGACAAAATTGTTCAGATTCTCTCCCAGTTAGACGCCAGCTTTGGTACAGTTCCTGTACCATGTAATCTGGGAGGAGTTTGAACCTGTTGGACCTGAGGAAGCAGATAGGGTTCTCATGACTGTGAGCTCAGTCACTTGCCTATTAGACCTATGCCCCTCCTGGTTGATGAAGGCCTCCTGGGAGGTTACTTGTGGTTGGATTTTAGTAATGGTAAATAAATACTTTCTTGAGAGAGGGGGTGGTTCCTCTGCCCTTAAAGAGTGTTGGTCTGCCTCCTCCTCAAGAAGCTATTGCTGGACCCAACCATACTGGACAATTTTCATCCAGTATCTAACCTTCCCTTTCCTGCCTTTCAGTCAGGTTTCAGATCCAGGTAATGGGGCTGAAACAGCATTGGACATGCTTTTAGATGACCTCTGGCAGGGGCAGGATGGGCGTATTGCATCCATCCTCATTCTGCTTGACTTGGTGGCCTTCAATACCATCAACCATGGTATCTTTCTGGACCAGCTTCAGGTGTTTGGGGTGGGCAGCACTGTACAGGTAATCCTCACTTAACGACTGTTCATTTAACAACTATTCGAAGTTACGATGGTGCTAAAAGTAATTTACAATTGGTCCTTGCACTTATGACCATTGCAGCACTCCCGCAGTCATGTGATCGTGATTCAGGCACTTGGCAACCAGCCCTCAAAGACAGTTGCAGCATCCTGGTGTCACGTGATTGCCATTTGCAACCTTCCCAGCTGGCTTCCAGCAAACAAAATCAATGGGGAACTCTGTGATTTGCTTAACAACCACTGCAAAAAAAGTTGTGAAATTGGGTGCAGTCACGTGGTACCTTGCTTAACGATCACCCTGCTTAATGACAAATTTTCCAGTCCCTATTGTGGTTGTTAAGTGAGGACTACCTGCATTGTGCTATTCTTCCTTGGGGGCCTGTTCCAGTCAGTGTTGATCAGGAGCGAGAGGCCCACTCTCTACTGCTACTATGTGGGGTGTCACCAGGTTCAGTACTTTATCTGCTCCTGTTTAACATCTACATGAAGCCACTGGGGGAAGTCATCCGTAGCCATGGGGTGAGGTATCATCAGTATGCTGATGATACCCAGCTTTATATCTCTGCCCCTGATGAAGTAAGTGATGCTGTTGACATCCTGTCTCAGTGCCTGGAGTCTGTGGGGGTTAGGATGGGGAATAACAGACTTCAACTCAACCCTGGCAAGACTGAGTGGCTTTGGGGTCTTCGAGCCACCAGGATCTGGAAATTTACCATCTTTAGTTCTGGATGTGTTGGCATTGCCCCAGACAGACCAGGTGGGCAATCTGGGGGTCCTTCTGGACTCACAACTCCTGCTTGAAGTACATAAATACATAGGAGCAGCTCAAGGCAGTGAACATACTAATTTTCCTGACTCCTATATTCTTTGCATCTATCCTTTTCTGTATATATGCATTATATAATATCTTCTTCCAACCTCATTTTTGCAGCAATTTTTCTATTTTTCCATTTACATTTTCTTTCACTTCATCATTCCAAGCATCCTTTTTCATAATTCCTATTAGCATAACTTCACGCACTCCTGTGCTACTCTGTAACATAATTCTTTTTACTCTGTTCTAAATAGTTTCAACACCCTCTTTTCTTATGTTTGCTTTCCATTCATTCCATTAGGAGATTAAACTACTTTCTAATTAATCTACTAAATATTACATTTGATGTTTTGTTTTGTTTTTAAGAAAACCTTTGTTGGATATTAGGGCCATATTCTTTATTCCTTTCTTCCTCGTCTTTTCCTCCTCCTCCTCCTCCTCCTCCCTTTGACTCACTTTAGCAGAAGAAAGCATTAGACATAAATAGATTAATTAAAAATGAATTTAATTTTTGCTATGAAAAGAAGTTGGACCAACACCGACCAATCATAATTAAAAACTCACCTGTATATTTTCTGAGAAAGAGGAAAGGAATCCTCTTTTTTATAATGCTGATTATACAATATGTTTGAGTTTTCCATATTTCCCCTTTCAAGTTTAAAATTGCAGTTAGCTGTTTTGAGTTTTGATTATTTCCTAGCTGAATTAATATTTGTTTCCTCATATCTAGCATCAGAATGAAGTAATAGATATAAGAATTCAAACATTTGTTATTAAATTTTAATATAAAATCTAAATATGGTGCAATTTGCATTTAAAATGTAAAAATTTTTTAAAACAAATCTAGAAACATTTTGCCAACATACAGTTTGCTTTTAAACTTTGCTCTTGAAATTGTAGGTTTTATATCCAGATTTGGCAACAGCAGATTATGCATTTCCTCCTCCTCGAACCGCTCTGTCACATTCCAAAATGTTGGTAAGTCACAATGCTCCTAATGTTGAAATAAACAAGAAAGTATAATGTATTTCCATTTCTGTATTTTTCCCAAATATTTTTACTCTGTGTTATCAAAGAGGCTGAATTTACTCTGTTTTATCAAAGAGGCTGAAAAAGAATTCATAGAGTTCTTTTTCTAATCTCTGAATTCTTAGTTTCTGAAGATGGAGCTGATAGGAAAGAGTGAATTCTACTTCCAGCTAGAAAGCAAGTCTTAAGATTTGCTCCTGTCCATGTGAGAAATCTCCATCATTTGTCAGTGTGTCTTATAGGATTAATTAGTGGCTTTCCCATTGGTTCCCCCCAAAAAGAGATCATGACAGAGACTGGGGAGAAAGGAACAGCATGCAACCCCATGACAGTGAAAGATTGCAGCTGAAAGGCCATAAAGAAACCAGGGTAAGGAGCAGTGTTATCCAGTCATAAGGTTAGACTCATGCCATGCAGTAATGGCCTTCAGAGACAGCTGAACAAAGTGGAGGAAACAAGCAGCAGCACCAGCATTGCACCTTTTTACAACATGCCAGGACTAAAAATGGCCTGGATCCCTTTTCTCATTGATGGACAAGGCATCACAAAAACACCAAAAATAGTGATTCTCCAGCAGCCGGGCAAGAAACAGGTGGTGCCACCAACGGTAACCTTCTTATGCCTGGACAGACCAGAGAAGCTGGAAAAGGAAATGCAGCAGCAGCACTCAACTTATCAGGGTCATGCTGATGACATGGATCTCCCTGTACTTCTTTGACCGAATGGCATCAGAAGAATCAGAGAACATCAGACATGGTGCTATGTTGGAGCTGTGGGGGAGAGCCCAGTGTGAGCCAACCTAGTAATGTCCAACATGGTAGCTAAGGAGCTAGAGGAAGGTGAGGCCATTTACACCTAATCTACCCTCATAAGACTTGGGAGCCCCAATCAGCCTTCCACCACAAGTGATGCAATCTTTAAAGCAGAATTAAAGCATCTTATGAGGAGCAGAGGATATTTTAGGTTAGACAAAAAGAGAGGGAAGGCGGTTACATTCAAGTCTATTTGATAATCTTGTTTTTCCCCATCCCAGTGACATAATAGAAAGAAATCTAGATTTGTCTCAGGAGCACTCTCTCAAGCTGCAAAAAAACTGTGAGGGAGATCCTAGCATCCAGGAGGCCAACCTTCATGACCATGACAGGTTTACGAGGCATGATGATTATGACCCTAGAACTGGTCCCATGGGCCTGTTTTCACTTGAGACTATTCCAGTGGCTCCTTCTCCCACTTCCTGGCCAAATTGCTAGCAAAAAAAAACCACAGAGCACATCTAGCTATCAAGATTCACAAACACACCAGCATCACAGCACATTCAGTCAGGTGGGAGACAACATCAACATGAAACAAAGGAAGGTTGCATGTGTAAAGCAGCAACATGAGTGGAATACCTACTTAGTTCAACATTATAAAACACGTTTGCCTCTGCAGATGCAATCTTTGGCCATACAGTATTACAAAGGGTACTTTTACCTGTTACATTAAACCATGCTGGAAATACTGCTGTAGAATATCCTTTTCTTCTGGCTCCATCTTTGATAATTAAGAGCAGTAGTTAGACTTACCATGAAGTATCTTTCTGGTCATTGAAAAATGTATCCACAATCCTCCTCTTTTGAATGGGAAAAGTGCTTAGAAATGGCATATACTTTACTGAATTTTTGTTCAATATTATACAATGTTATCATTATCTTTGTTTTTCCATTTCCCATGTGTTTCTTGTCAGTGGTAACTTTTGTTGTTACAATGAACTGTTCGATAAAGAAGGAATTAAACTACACTCAGCATGAGACTGATGGGACAGTATTTCCTCCATAGGACTGGAAGAAGTATCAAGCCCTATTTTCTAGCTATAATTTGAAGCATTACTGCAGTGTCCCATCTGTGATCCCTGATTTAAATTTACTTCCACCATTACTATCAATGCACAGTTTATGAGAAAATGAAGCATTTGGTGAACAATGAAACTGAACTGAGGTATATCAAATGTACTTGTGCCACAGTTCTTAAAGGTGGGGTGTATGCCTGAGTAATTGAACAGTAAACAAGCTGTTCACATGGGATCCAAGGCTGAGTTGCATGAAATAGTAATACAGTAACTGGCTTCATTTGGAAAAATTATTACCAGCTGAAGGACAATTTTGTTACCGTTGAAAATTAATTCCAAATTCATCTTAAAAATTCTATTTTAATTTTAAAATCATATTGTGATTTTTAGTCCTTTAAGAATTTTAAAGACTAGATTATCCCAACTTTGGCAGCCAGTGGATGCATTTGAAATTTTGAGAGCGTGTTATAGTATTTAAAAATGGCTACCATGGAGGCCATGTCCACTCACAAAATATCCGTTCGCCAAAGGCATACTGGTGAAATTTCTTCCAGTCACCCATCTAGCCCTTCAGGAGAATTTATTCTGTCAGAGTTGACCTTTATTTCTCTGGCTACATGTGCAACTTCCAAACAAATACTGGTTGCAGCCACTTGCCATTTTTATTGTTTTTTTTTTTTAATGTTTTTTTTTATTTTTACAACAAACACAAAACAAACATGAACAAAC